AGAGAGAGAGAGAGAGAGAGAGAGAGAGAGAGAGAGAGAAAGCGGTTTCTGACAGAATTTGAAGAAAATAGTGAAGAGAAAAACTAAAACGAACCGAGAAATTTGTTTTTCAACGCCCGAACTCTTGTATTAACTGTATACTGAATCAGTTTGACCAAGTGACCATATAAAATAGCATGAAAAAGTGTACACGAGAAAAGAGTAACTGCAAATTAAATCACGGCCAAATAAGAAATGAAATTGGAAAAGCACAAAAATCTCCGGAACGTTTCACAAAAAATACCACATTCACTTGCTGCATTCGTTTTCTGCTCGACTTAAGCGTACGAGCGTGGTTTTATTCATCGGTTCTTGTGGTATGACATAAATGATTTGAACATTTTACATGTTTCGGCTTCCTGTTACACGACAACATGTTGAAAAATATTTTCTCTGCAAATATTATGCTTCAGCATGCTTTCTCATCCATGGATGAATGCAAGTAAAAAGTAAAATGAATTTAATTTGGTCAACATTTGGCTAACCAAATTTCACTTCTTTGATAAAAATGAACTCACAGCTGTTCGTTTTTATTTTCTTTGAAAACAGAATTGATGAAACATTTTATTAGCAGTCATAGTCTGGAAGAAATGATTCGGTGCTGTTTTTCAGAACAAGTCTGAAGAAGTCTGTGTTAAAAATGTTTTTTTTTTGTTTTTGGTTAATTTGCATAGATGCCTTCCGTTTCGACGCAAAACGAATATAAATTCAAGAATATTCGAGATATTGAAAATGTTCAATCCTTTTTGTTGTGTGCACAGTTGAATAGGTGTTGTGAGATACGGCAGGAAAACAGAAAAAAGAAAGAAATTTTCCTAAACACTTGATAATATGTTAACATAGTGCCGTTCACGACCTTGGAACATCATTACAATACTTCACCGAGTGTGCTTGTGCACCGCATCGATTTCACCGGCTTCACTTTGACAAAGTCAACCAGTGTACCCATAACCTTTTTGATGGCATGCGAATGTAAGCGTGAAAAAGAGCATTAAATGGGCTGTTGTATTGTTGTACGTGTATCGAATCAATAAACATGTGTTTACCAAAGCGAACGGGGTTTTCGCATCATTGCCAAAACTCACAACAAAATTGTCTCCATCGTTCGTACTTTGACTGCAACCCATCGAAATTCGACGTGATCTGTGAACTGGAATATTCGACAGTAATGGGACCATCTTTGTACGGCCTCACACTTTTATCAAATGACAAAATCGACGCGACAATATTTGCTGAAATGGCAAGGTGAAATTCCTGTAAGCCAAAAGCATCGGGCGAAAGAAGAAAAAACTGGCTCGTGATTACGATGATGACAACAAGTAAACATGAAGTAATGAACGAACAATTCATGAATATGTGTGTATGTGTGGAAAATACCTACCTCGTTGCAATGTCGGTAGAATTCGGTAAAAAATGAATACAACGTGAACGGAGGAAAAGGAGGAAAAATTCGATTTCTCTTTTACGTGAATATGCGACGATAATAATCAAAGCGTACGATAAAATATGGATTCGTACGTTGATCAGCAACAGCCTCTTCCGAATAACCAAATATTTCTATTTTCCATTTTATTTTCTCTCTCTCGCTCGCCTGATTTGAATCATTTTGAAAAATGGCCACGTCAAAATCACATACCGATTTCGATTTGCACCATTCCGGCACAAAAAACACTTCGAATGGTTCCGTCATAATTCAATAGTTTCTTTCCCACCTTAGTTTTGTTCGGCATACCTGCAAGTAAGTTATGTGCATGGGTGTGTGTTTTTTTCTCTCTATCGCTTCAAACTGATTCACAACACATTCACGTATGGACTTTATTGATGAATCGAAAAAGCATACGAGATTATGTGCGAACGATATTTTTCGCATTGTACCACTTCTTTTTGCAAGGTGTGAAACGGATAAATACCATCATCGCAATGTGGGTAAATTGAATTATATGCGCTCGAATTCAGAAGAATCGATTTGACCCATTGTCCGATTGAGCCTTTTGGAATATAAACTGATGTCGGCAAACATTCATCCTCGTATGGCTTTATCAGTTCCGTATTCATACGAAACTTATTTGGATCAGTTGATGATTCGTATGTGAAGATAAAAATAACGGAAAATATTGATTCGTCCTGCAAAATATCCTAGAAAAATGTTTTCAAGCGAGACACAGTCTATTTTAGTTTCTTGAAAGCATTTTGTTATGGAATTTTGAGAAATCCAGTTGAGCGTTCGAAAAATAAATTGCATCATCAAGAAAATGTTTTGAAAATGGTCTCGTTTTATGACATACAGAGACAATTTTCGACAATCACAACATTTGAATTGGTCTCAATTTACTCTCTTGTCTTCAATTATGCAATAGGGGACATTGTCTCTAGTTTTTTTGGTCAGCATTTCAATGTTCTCAATCGAAAATTCATTACAGTTTTCATCCTCGTAAACAAGTGACCTATTGGTCCTAAACCTGTATGGCTGCCCATCAATTAAATTCCATTTAATTTCGTTTGTCACATTTTCAATTCGTTCCTTTCGTTGCGTTCTATTCGATTCTTTTTCTTTCCGGCAAGTGTCAAGACGGATTTAATGGAAAATGGTGCTAATTCAACGTTATTCATTGCCAAAGTGAGAAAAACGGATACCGGCAACTATACGTGCTCAATTGGACCGAACGATTTTCACACAATAAATGTTCAAGTGTTGAATGGTAATTATTGTCACAATCAATTATCGGTTTTCACTTTTTTGTTTCATATTTTGAGCATTTCGAATTTATTTTTAATGCTAAATTTTTTATTATTTGCTTCTATTTCAGGTGAAAGTCTCGCCGAATTGTATCACGTGAGTGCGGTTCCATCACAATTTGAACTCACACCACACAATTGGATTACAATGTTCATTTCCACAATAATAGTTTTAAGTCGTTACATTCAAACCTTCGAGGGTAATAATATCGTTTACAAAGTCAGTTTAGAATATCTGAAAAAGTGTTCGTCGTAACAATTTAAGCCAACTTTGATCCGCTACACTTGGAATTAGTTAATTGAATTTTGTTACTTTTAATAGTTTAGGTTGTGTTAAGATAAATAAAAAGAAATGCTTCAATATCAAAAAAGTTGAACTTTCATTCAAGGGCTAAGCTTCAGTTTCATTTCTCTTATCTTTGTATTACACTTATCTCTCTTATTGGTCATTACATAGATTTTGATTCACGGCAAAACACCATATCAATGCAACAAAACACCGTATCAAGTTGATATTATCAACCATTATGACAAACGGTTATGAAAGAAGAAAAAAATCCGTTGAATTGGTTGTTGATCCAAAATCTTGTCGCAAAATAAAGTACGAGCTTTCGACAGTTAAGTATCCTTGAGTAAAAGTGGATAGCTTTTGCAATGGCAACCCAACACCGCTGTCATCCAGCTGTCACCCCTTCATTTGAAACTTCAAAAGGGGAAGTTTGTAAACAAATCGTTAATTGTTAGACGCTGAAAATGATGATGATATCGTAATTACTATCCACACTAAGCCATTCGGTTAGATGGCTGATCAATGTATGAAAATTCTGAACAAAAATAACATTAACGTACACCACAGGCCATAAGTTTGGATACCCCTATGAAACGTTTGTTTCTACGTTTTTTGAACATTTTCACTTAAAATTTAGTATCGGATATGAAAACATATCGAAATTCTGACCGAATGGATGATTTGGAAGATAACATTTGGCCGGCCTATGGCCATCTTTTGGCCTTTGAGCTGTGGGAGCCAAAATCGAAGTCTTAAACGGGCCATCGGATTAAAGAGTTATATACGCCATTGGAAAGGTCTTTAAAAGTAGATGTGATTTGTGGTATTAAACATCAAAATCTGCCGGCGTTTGGCCAAGATATGGCCGTTTGTAATTTTTGGCCGAAATCTTCAATCAGCCATATCTTGGCCAAAAGCTGGCCGATTTTGATGTTTAATACCAAAAATGATACGTATTCTCCGAGACCTTTCCAACGACGTATAGCATGTTGAAATTGGACAAGCGGTTTGAAATTTAAAAAATTTGGGCCAAATTCATTCATAGGGGTATCCAAACTTATGGCCTGTGGTGTATGTATATCATGTACGTGTTTTTCAAGTAATTTTTGATGTGGTATTTTCGTCAGCGCTAATATTTCATCTGGATGTGGTAATAATGATGTCAATAATTCTAGCTATATACGGTTATAAGTGTACTTGTCTAATATTTTAACGATGCAATTTTCAGGCGGCCGAAAATTCTAGTCTTTCATTTGGACAAATTTTCTTTGGTTAAATTAATGGCTTCGCAAATCTGTTTGTATACTGTTATATTGGTTACAAAGCGAGTGATTACTATACTAGCGTAGGTGATGTTTTGTATCAATCAACTGGAATAAGCTACCGATAAAGTATCGTAAAGTTTTCATGTTGATGATACAAGATGTCCAAAGACCTATGAACTATCATGGCTTCAAAATGATTAAAATTGGTTTGGGAACATTTGCAGCAGTAAGTCTGGGCATATTCCACATGAGGAATCTTCTAATTTCGTTTTCTCTTCTTTTCAGATTTTGAAAGATGTTTTCCAGTATTATATGGTAATGAAAACTTTGACAGAAAAATAATGAACTTTATTAAATTCATCGGATGCTGTGAGTTTGGTGCCCGACGAGAAATTTGCGGTAAAATAGGTGTACGCCGACACTCCGTCGCATATCAGTTCTAGAGTGCGGATACTCGCAATGCGAATAGAAATCCACAATAAAAGTTACTGCAAAATGTTATCGCTGAATTACAGATTTACGGGCAATAACATATTATTAACTATACTTAATAACATAATAATAACGGCGGTATATTTGGTCCAACATAACATAATAATAACGGCCAATATGTTTATTAACATATCGACATATTATCTTAATAACGACCAAAAAAATCGCAAAAAAAAGTTTCA